TGGGTGGGTGATGAGGAGGCTTTGAGGCTGAGACTAACTGAAGGAAAGGAGCGAGATGTGCAGAGCAGAGTGAATGGGGTGAGAACAGCCCCACTGCTGCCACCTAGTTGTTCTCCGCACTATGGCTTCTGTGGGTGTTGGAGGGAGAAGCTCCCAGGACTCTTTGACTAGGCCCAGGCCCACTCTTGTCCCTCAGCTCTCTGCACTGTCAGCGTCATTGCCTGCCTCCCCAGACTGTGAGCTTTCTAAGGGCGGTGGCTCTGTCCCATCCATACTGGCCCCGGCCAGGAGCCCTCAGGGAGGGAGTAGGATGGTCGTCCTGGACCCTACAAAATGGGGCTGGGGTGGGTGGACAGAGAGGAAGGAAGACAAGACAAGGACACTGAGGCAGAGGACTTCCTAGAGGTGCTCCCCCTGGTGCTGGCAGACTAGAGAAAGAACAGGAGCTAGCTTATGACGACCAAAGCTCAAGGGGCTGGATGACAAATGAGGGACCTGCAGTTTCTCTACAACCTCTCAAAACCCCCTGGCATGCTCAGATGTGGTCTGCAGGCTCTGGATCTCCAGGGCAGGACACAGTCTCATAGGGTAACCCCAGTTCCCAGAGAAGATTCCCAGAAAGATTCTAAACACCTGCTGGTGGTCATAGGCGGAGCTTTCCTTAGCCTAGGTCCCCAGAAATGTCCTGCATTTACAAACACTGCAAATACCCAGGCCCCCCACCCCAAGTCTGTTTCTGGCTTAGATTTCCCTCTATAAGTTCTCAAAATACTCTATTTCCTACTGCCCACACACATGACAATGACTTGCTGGTGACCTCACTCTCTCTGTGTCCCAGCAGCGGACTGGCAGTAACTCAGTAACACACCAACATCCCACACAAAGGAGACAGCAACCCACAGGTGGCTCTGAACAGCCTGGTCCTGGACAGACACAGGCTGAGCTCAGGCTGGCCCCCAGTACACCCTGCCCAATGCTGTGCCTGCTCTGCATTGGGCACTCAGCAGCCTGGCAGGGCAGCTATTCAACCTCACTCTGTCCAGAGCAGCTAATCCAGGTGCTTGGCAGGCTGTGCCCATGCCGAGGTGGCAATGACACCACTGTTCAACTCGGGACATCCTGAAACAAACCACAAAGCGCCAGGAGCCGTGAAGTTCTCATGTCCAGTTCATCAGAACAGTCCCAGAGGGCGGTTATTGGCCGGGGTCTTCATTTAGTTAAAATGGTCCTGGACTGAGAGCAGCTTACAAGCTGCCTTCTGCTGCAGCACTGGGGTGTCTGAGCAGATACTCCCTGCAAGAAAGCCAGTACCAAGGAGTTCATCACCTGCCAGTGGAGTTACACCGTGAACGGCAAGCACTTTCAAATCACTTTCGTGCTGCTGTTTTTAATGTTACCGAGAGTGACAAATGTTTACTGTTTGTGACAAGCACTGTGTTCAGTGTTGCACATCTATTAACTTCTTTACACATGAGGTACCTGGAGCATCTGGTCCAGAGTGGTGCTCCTCGCACAAATGCTCTAGTCTCCCCTTTGCACCAGTCTGCACAAGGTGAGCTAAGGATCCATTAAGACTAGAATCTCCAGGTTCCCATAGGACTCACCTGGCCTCTCTCTCCAGACTCCACTCGCCACTCTGATTTACTTTCAAACTCTCGTAGGCACCAAACACACACTTCCTTATTCTTTCCCATCTGCTTGCCTGCCAGCCTGAGGACACTTTGCTCTTCAAGACTGGATCCAAATGTGACCTCTCATGCCCTTGGGGTCCCTCACACAGTGCTCACAGAGTACTGGCCTGTTCCTCCCTGAGTCTGGAGCTAGCAGGAAGCTGCTTCATGCATCTTTGTGTCCCAGGCAAACTGCATTCAGCCAGCACAAAGTAGGTACACAATAAATTATTTTTTAAATTATTTAAGAGCAGCTAATCAGTTGTTATTAAATGCAAACGAACAAACAAAAACACTTGAAGAGATTTATTTAAGGGAATGATTGGTAAGGGAAGAGATCAACAGCCTCCTTTAAAAAATCCCACTCGTATATCTAGTTGCAAAGAGAAGTAGAAACTCCAACATTCATTCGGTTCAGAGATAAACCGAAATTCAACCTCAAGGTTTCCAGTCCCTTTACCTGTCAACCCTTAAAGCCAGTTTTACACTTCTATATTGTAGACTTCAGATAACTTTCCTTTTTTTTTTCATGAACAGTTAAGTTTATTTCAACAGCAAGTTTGAAACTCTTGCTTTAGGCCAGAGTACTACAATAATTATATAGGGAATAGTCAATTTCCTACACTGTCAAATATATAAAGAAAATTATGGAATGCTTCACAAATGTGCGTATCGTCCTTGTGCAGGGGCCATGCTAATTTCTGTATTGTTCCTATTTTAGTATATGTGCTGCCAAAGCGAGCACCAGATAACTTTCTTTTAAGAGAGGAAAAAAAAGAACACAAATGTTCCAAGAACATAACAAATCACGCACATCCCTACCACCTCTTAATAGCTGCTTCACACCCGAAACAGAAAGTATTTCGGCAGATTTCACTCAAAAAGAGCAGCACTCTACCAGCAAAAGGCAGCCTCTGACCTCCACTGTCTGATGAATTTGCAAGGGACTGGGGAAATCTAACTATAAGTTCTAGGGAAAGGGCCTGATGTCGTTCCTAACCCTTAAACATTGTACAATTATTTAAAGGAGAGATCTATAACAGGAGGTGAAAAAGTAAAGAATAATCACAAAACAAAATAAGACCAATCAACAAAAATATTTCATTAACTCAAAATTAACACAACATTAGGTAATTCATTTAAAGACACAAACTGCATCGCTGACACGCTGAGCACATTTCAACCACTCTGACTTGTTGCTTAGTGTGTCTGGCTGCACACTCCAAATTCAATTAACTGCTAAGGGACACTGAGTGCAATGTCATTCCTGAGATCACCTGAAGTCTGTACTGATCCCTGTAGAGAAGGGTGGCAGAGAGAGTTCCTCAATTACTCACTGCAAAAGGAAACTCTGCAATCTAACCTGTTAAAATCTCCTGGGAAATGTTAAAATAGTTGCTCATGTATTTATCACAATTTTAGGAAAAAAGAAAAGGGTCAGAACTCCATCTGCCTTTCCTCTGAAGCCATTTTGAAATAAACCGTCAGGAAATTAATTAGCCTCATGCTGTCAAGGGCACAACAGCAAGCGTGCTTATCGGAACATCTCGTTCATAAAACACCTGACTGTGATGGCGAACTCCACCTGCTCCTCGATCCTTGCTGAGCACACCGCCCAGAACTTCCTCCCAAGACTCCAGAACCCAGGGCCTAGGTTCGGATGCCAGCTCGGCTATTTTCCAAGGGACACCCTGGACGCGTACAAGAATCCATCCGCGGCTCAACTTCCTTATCCTTAAAATGGGGATAAACTACTAGAGCACGGATTCACTGAGTCCCCGCGAGGTTCAGCTGGGACCGCGCACTGTCCAGCGCACACCAGCACCGGCCTAGCAGAGTGCCGAATGATCCTTGGCCTGTCAAGAGCCCAAGACCCCCGACTCGCAGCGGCCCACGCTCTCCCCGTGTGCGCGCCGCCACAGAGAGACCGGCTCCCGCGAGAGGCAAGGCTGAGGCGCAGACCCAGGGTTTCCCCCAGGTCACCAGGAGGCAGAGTCTTTCCGCCCCTCCACCCGGCCCCGCGTAGGGCGCTGAGGCGTTGGGAGTCTCTGCCACCCGTGAGACCGGGCGCGAAGCCTCCGTCGCCCCGGGGCTCCTCACCCGGCGGGCTGACGCGGGCCCGGCCCCGTTCAGCAGCGGCGTGCCCTCGCCGGCCGGCACCCCGGGCCGCGCCGCCCTCCGCAGCAGCGGCGCCGCCTCGTCGTCGTCCAGGTCGCGCCCGGACCACGACACCTTTTTGGAGACGTTGGCCATGGCCCGCTGCGGACGGACCGGCGGAGGAAGCGCCGGGGCCCGGTGTTTGTTCTCGTGACCCGCGCTGAGGCCACGTGACCCCAAACAGTGGCCGCGTGACCCAGTGGCATCCACGTGACCTAGGCCGCGGGCCACAGGGAGGAAACCAAGCCCGCGCGGAGCTTTCTGGGAATTGTGGTGTGGGCGCTGGGCCCGGTGTGGGGGCAGGCTTGGCCTCTGCAGCATCTGAGGTCTGGAAGAGAGGCTCGCCCCAAGTCTGGTGGAGGTAGGAACCCGCTCGAGGGGCTCCAGTCTGTCAACATAGCCCAAGTCTGTTGTAATCAATCACGGCATAGCGAATGGGAAAAGAACCCGGAGTCCACACGGATAAAAAGTGAAGGAGGGTGGAGGCGGGAGATGAGGGGCTCTCTTCTTTGCAATAGATTGCCACCAACTAATAAACGTGGAAGGAAAGATGGAATTAGAAACATCACCATTTTGCACAAACCGTAGTGATAACTGATTCAAGCCAGAATCATTAATGCGAGCTAAAACCATTGGGTTCAGGTTTGCTGGAAAATAGCATGTACGCAGTCTCACAGTGTCTTCCTGCAAATTACAGTGAGGAAGGGGGAAAATCTGTTGCGGGAAACCTGCTGTAAGAAATCTGGCAGACTTCACCTGAACCAAGGACAAGCTTAGTATCACGATGATAGGCTGGCATCGGCACAAGCCTCCAGATGTGCTGCACTGGGCAGGACACAACAATGCTCCTGTAGTACTCCTGCAGAAAATCCTTCTCTGAGTCCCGTCACGGGGGGCGG